TTGAGGTACAGTGCTCTTTTATTTAAACTATGAAAAATATGGGGTCAGTTTGATTTCATATTTTTCTAAAAGTATATATATATATATATATGTGTAAATTAAAACGTCATTCTGAAGCGGGCGACGGAACTTCACTTCCAGCGACCAACAGCTTCTTACGGACAACTTTTGAACAAACCACCTACAAACTTTTTAACTTTACCCCCTTTTAGCGCTGACAGTAACATGAAGAGATCTAAATTCCCTTTGTAAAAATCCAGCAACAACATCTTTAAATTCAATGATGGATGAGCCCTATCATCAAAATAGAGAAAATATTTGTCCACTAAGCCTCATGCTTGACTACCTGGCATGGAAGAAAATTTTTGGCAATACTTTCTTTAAGGAGATAAGGTTCATCGTCCTAAAATGGAATCATAGCAAAGATCATTAAATTCAACTCTATTTAGCATCAGATAAACACGACTAATTCTCATCCATAAGGTGAACAATGAGTGAGTTGCAAAAGAGCTTGAAGATATTCGAGAGGTTCTTCATTAGAAGACGCTCCATGTTCTATAATTATTTATAAATAGCATAGTCATTAGGTCGCTCCTAATGCAAAGACCTCTCCAAATCTTAAGAATGATTCATAATCAAGTTCCTAATCTTCAAAATTTCCACATCCATCACACCAAAGAGAATTTTAGATCCAAAATTGTATATAAATGATCACCAAGACCTTACCAAAAAAAAAGAACTAGGCAAAACATGCTAGAAGAAGGGAGAGATTGGCTGTCAAAAAATCTCTTAGTGTAGAAAGAATTGAACGAACCTCTATAAACAACGAAGAGCGAGTTGAACCCAAGTTAAGGCACATAATTTAGAGGAACTAAAAGATTTCATAAGGGAATTGCACCTTAGATCATATGATTTTGCTAGTCCACGCCCAATATTTGAAATCATATTTACAAGTAGAGACCAAATTTGATACTACAAAGTTGGCAATTTAGTACAATTACATACAAAAATTTGAATTGAGCACATTATAGCTGCCTGTGCAGTAGATTAGTTTTCTTAAAAGTTAGATCCAAGCATAGGAACTCCATGTGAGTTCTACATTGCAGACGAGTACTTCTTGCAAGTACCCTAAATAAATACTCGAGGTGAGTTTCTAAAGTAAGAGACTGTATATAATAACCTAGTAACCTTCGACAGTGTGCAACTTCAGAAGTATTTTAGTCTAGTTCAACAGCTTGGCGCTGAGGGTCAAGTTAAGGCTAGCTCTTTAGTCAGCATGTTGGCAGTTGGGAGACCAACCAATTTCAATTCCTTTGGCAAGTCCAAACTGGGTGAGCTCCAAGTTGTGAGGACATTTAAGTTGGTTCGCAATAAGAAGCTTCTTGGACTCAGATTCAGATATGAGTAATGATTTGATTAATCTAACCCATAAATTTATGAATGTACAATTTCAATAAGATATGCATCACCACATTCATAGTTTCTTCATCCCCTTCTAGTAGTTTTTCATTCTAACATCAAACTTTCCTGCTGCTTTTTACTTGGCCATAGCCAACACTTGCACAGTTAATTTTGTAATCAAATAAGATTTAGCATGAAAAATTTACCCACAAAAATAATTCAGTCCAGAATCACAATGCCAGCAGATGCTAGTCTACGTTCATTCTCCACAATGATCAGTTCAACAAAAATGAGCTTAAGTGTTTTTTTTTTTTCTTTTTTAATTTGCATGGCATGTCGACATGATGAACAAACATTAAGATTGGCAATTCCATGATTACTACTTACCTTCAGAAACATGAAGTTCTGCCCCATATATCATATGAGAGTTTGGCAAAAATAAATTCATTCAGAATCCTTAATAATACTATAAAAACTACAACTCTTTTCCTGAATCGAACTAGAAGGAAAAAAGAATGTTCAAATAGATTGGCAATTCCATGATTACTACTTACCTTCAGAAACATGAAGTTCTGCCCCAAATATAACACGTCCATAAATCTCAATCTCTGTCACCTAACAAATACCAAAACAATAAAGCATATTTCAGAAACAGTAATTCTGGACAAAGAATCAAAACTATCATAATGATACCATGATATGAGAACCTACCAGACCCAAACAGAATTTGCCAACTAAATTAGGAAATATGTAGAAAACGAACCTACCTCAGCTTCAGGAGACATGGCAATTTCATCTTGAGCGTAGTCGACTATAGCCAGCGCACTTCTTCTGGTAGAATATTCTTGCATAGGAGGAGGCACTAGAGGATGGGGAGAAGAAGGAGAGGTCAAGTTTAATGGCGAAGAAAGCTGCGACCGAGACGCTGGCGGCTGCAGCGTGGGAGTCTGATGTAGAAATGGGCTCCTTAGGGCTTTCATTTCGGTGCCATCGAGAGGGTGAAGCGGAGAAGGAGAAAAGAAGGGTTGAGGAGATTGTTCGGTGATGGGCTGCGGTACGTTGTTGCTTTTGTTGAGGTTGTCCTTCAAGATACCGTCGTTGTCTTCGCCGTCGCCGTATTCCGCCGAAGCAGTGGCTGCAATTTCTTCCTCACCCGCAGTGACGGCGGCTTCTTCCTCTTCCTCGTCGTCTCCGTACATGGATAGGAGGGCTATGCCTTCATTTTCCGCTGCCATAGCCGCCGCTCGCAGGAGAACCGAAAGTTTGATCCGAACTTCCCCTTCGATGTTGCGTGTCCTTGTAGCTGGATTTGAGCAGGAATTAACCTAAGTCCTCCCAAACAGCAAAAAAGACCAATTTAAATCCTACAGCATTTAAAATCATGTATCTCCTTTGTTTTACCTTAAATCCCTGAATCAGCAAATCCCGTTGGAAGGTAGATTTACGGGAGTTTCACGGAAGTGAAGTACGCGAAGGAGGTTGGGTGGAAGAAAGAGAAAGACGCGGGTTATTCGGGTAGGAGCGGAGTGGAAATGGGAGTTTTACGGGAGTTTCAGAGATCTATGCACGCCGCGATCCGGTCGTTGCCTTCCCAGCTAGCTAGCTCCAGTCGCGACTGTACCGCGAGGGTTTTGGAAGCGAGCGGAGGATGAGGTCGAAGGTAGGCAATGGATTCGGCCAAGGCGAGGTTTGCGAGAAAGAGACGAGCAAGAGAAATAGGATTCGGGATTCAATATAATTTCATTTCAGTTATGTTTAATTAATTATTACAAGAGAAATAGGATTCGGGATTCAGTATAATTTCATTTCAGTTATGTTTAATTAATTATTAATTATTAATTATTAATCATTAATTGTATTATCAAATTAATTACTATAGTATCTTTTAATTAATTCAATGTAAAGTTAATTATAGTTAAAAAATATTTATGTGTGATTATTTTATAATTAATTAAATTAAATTACATATAGTCGAAGAAATAGATCATCAATAATTAATTAATTAATAAGATTATTTCTTAATTAATATTTTTTTATTAATAATTAATCAATTCAGTAAATATTTAATTTTTTATTAGCAATACAATTTTAAAGCAATTTTAATTGGATTCAATAATTACGTCATTAATATATATATATATATATATATATAATAATCTTGCTTAAATCATGATTAAGTTGCCAACGAGATTTAACTATATTTAAAATTTATCATGCTAAACAATTTTCAAATTTTATTACTCTATCCTGCTAAAATTAAATCATACTTGCAACCAAATAACCTCTAATATGAATGTTTATCTCATAGTAAAAAAAAGTTTAGGCAAAACAAATATATGTGGGATCTTTATTCATTGTATAAATAGTACATTAAATATATGTATTTGCTTATCTCACGTCTATTTTTTTCTTTAGTTTATCACCTAAATCTCTTTTAATACATCAATTATAGCACTCTAATTATTCCTCTCTTCCGCCTTGAGAAATATATTCCTTCACTAAAGCTGCAACACTCTTATTCATCTTCTCTCTTCCACCTAAATGTAAATATCATCCTTATTCCTCTCAAATTTATAGCATTGTTTTGTCACTCTACTCTGCACAAAGTGACTGTGACATTACCTAATGTACTATGCTAATACCCTTTCCTTCCCCTTCCAAATCCAAAAAGCTTTACTTTATCATATTCATCTCAGTATGTATGTTTTGTCAATTTCATTCAACTATTTTATTGTACTCTAATAATGGTTGTGATTAGTGCTTCTTATATCATCTTTAAGTTTAATCTTTTAGCTTTTTGTTCAACTCAAATAATAGGGGCACGTGAATTTTCCCTCAATCTACCTTTATGCTTTAAACCTCAATGTAATCAAGAAAATGTCATACTTTATTGCATTAGTTATTCATTTATTTGCATTTTTTTTATTATGTAATGTTAGAATGAGGGTATAAAAAACTAATTGTAGGTGCTTGAATTATGCTTCATCACTTTTATGTTGTTTTTTTGTTTCAACTTTTTTTATTTCAAAGCAGAGCCAACTAATATTAATTATTATTTTTAGGCTTAAGAAGTTTAATAATTTTCTAGAAAGCCTATATTTAATTGAACTTCATTAATTTACATTACATACATTTTTATAAATGAATTATATTTATGATAATTCACATGTAATAAATGTGAACTATAAGATTGTGAAAATAAACCAAATAGAGATGAACAAAAAAAATGTTAATTTGAAAGGAATTGAAATTTTAATATTCACATTTGAGGATGTCTATAAAAAAAATTTGAAAGATTACAAGAAAATCATGGCTGATAAATGAAAATAGTGTCAATAGTCCTAAACAGATTAAGCTTTTAAAGATATGCAAGATGTTTAATATTATATACATTGCATGCGTTAATAGCAAAGTTGATAAATTAGTTTATTCAAGTTCTTATGTGGACCATAAAAATATCTACATATGAGAAATAATCACTAAAAATACAACTATACATTCTACTTTGTTATGATTCTCATTTTAGCCTAGTTTATGTTCACTTTGGTTTCAATTAAGTTCATGTATTCACTTTCACTTATATTTTCTTAAGTAGATGGTGAGGGTCATGTCCAACATAACATTGAAATGAAAACATAATGTAAATACAAAGAGAGAAACATATCAAAAGCTAAAAATATGAAATTATTCAATTGAATTCAATAAAAAAACAAATTAAAAAAATAAGTATGATAATAACATGTAGAATAAGACAATGTTGAGTCTTCAAGTTGAAACTGGCAACCAAATAAATCTATCAAAACAATCAAAAATCAGAAAAATAAAATAAAATGAAATTAAACCAAAGAGGGTAAGTAATTATAAGAAAATAAAATTAGATCAAAATAAATTGTAAATAAAGAGTATTTAAGAAACGTCATCCAAAGTACCATACGACAAAATTAAAAATCCTCTAAAATTTTTAAAAAAAGGAGAAACTATCAAACAATATTCATAAAATAAGATGAATTGAAGCAATTTGCAAAATGAACAAGTTAAAGGCCAAAAAAGCATCTCAAAAGCTAACAAATTGAATAACATAATAAATAAATTCATGCTATGAAACTAGAAAAAAATAAGATCCTAAGTAGATTTCAAAAAAAAAATTCTAATCCAAACTAACAAAAAAATATCTCGCAAATCCATCATACAAATAAATAAATAGTCTATCATAACATATGGATGAGAAAACTAAATGAAAATATTAAATCAATCATTGCATAAAAAGAAAAAAAAATAATATATAAAACTAACATGTAAAAGTAAACACATTTCCACCCAAATGAGAAGCTAAACAATGATGATAGTAATGGGTGGTTGTGGAAGATAAACCTTTGACATGGTCAAAATAGATTTAAGAAATAACACATTCATCATAGGTAGAAATTCAAAAACAAATGAATATGCACCCAATTTCAAGGCATATTAGAAGCACTCCAATATTTCAAGTTATCTTAATCAATTTTTTTGGTTGTTAATACAACCATTATGAAAGTTATTGAGATAGGCTTAATTTTTAAAAGAAGTAGCTAAACGTAATGTTTGGGCAAAAGAAACTAGGTTTAGGAACATTTTTAAGGGACAAAAATTCAAAAAAGAAAGTGTTTTTAAGAACACAATTTTTTTTTGCATATAACTTAAAAATAATTAATTAATATTCATTTTTTAAATTGTAAACTAATAAATAATATTATTTTTTCATTTCACTGTTATATAAAAAGAATAATTAATTAATATTAATTTTTTACATAAAAATTTTAATGTATTTAATTAATAATTTTAGTTATTATAATAAATTTTAAAATTAAAATATTTTAATATGAAATTTATACTATTAAGTTATTTAAGTTTTATATTATTTGTTTAGTTTAAAAAATAACAAAATTGTGCAAATTAAAAGAAAAGTAATACTGAGTTATTTAAATGTTATAAAAATTAAAATAATTGAAAAAAGAATTAAATAATTTACTAAAGTTGAACATTCAAAATAACAAAATTAGAATAATATATTCAACGAAATAATTTCAGGTTTTATTAAAATAATAATTATCAGTACAATAAGTCAAAAAACATAGATAAAATATATCTGCTACAATGTGGTTAATATGTGTATGATCCTAGAATATATTTTGATGGCGCTCGGAGCGGTCGCTCTCGTAGTTGACGTTCCTTTTCATCCTCATATTCCGCCTCTTCAACAGTTGACGAAAATTTTGGAGTATCTTCTTGCATGTGAAGTGGTGGTTTGTTGTAATTTTGTCTCAAATAAAATTGCATATCAAAGTGTCGACTCTCATTCGTAGTCCAATGCAAGTCGAAACCTCATGTGATGTTGAAGGTCCTGAATATGTTGAGGCTCTTGCATATGTTGACGGACATGCATATGTAAAGAATCCAGAATATGCTGAGGGACCAATACAAGCAAAGGATCATCTTGGAGCATCTGCAGTCGAACCTCTTAAAAAGTTTGCTGGTGAGTGTAGTGGAATATTTGAAGTTAATCTTTGAGAGGTGTGTTCTGTTGGTTGGTTGAATCTGCTATAATCAATATAGAGTGACTGCTCCACCTTGTTGGAAAGCTTTGCAAGTTCATCATAATTTTCTTGTATTGTCATAGTATCTTCACCATGGCCACCAGGGAATCTCCCAGCAAGGCCCCTTGATCGTATGTAACAGTCCACCGATATAAGATCATAATTAATTAAATTAAGAAAAAGGATAAGAAAAGCAAATAAAAAATCAATATAAATTATATACACACCATTAACCTCTAGACAGGTGATCTAGGGTGGTAGATATCTGGTGCTTCAGCAGACGACTGAACTAGTTTGATCGACGCCCATGATCTATAACACTGTAAGTAATGTGTCTTTTTGCACTTTCATCTCCTGAAGTTGGGTTTAATAGTATTATGAAGGCTTGGTGATTATTTCATAGAATGCTTATTTTTTTAACATTTTTATATCATTCATGTGCTCATTGAATGTACGTTCCTCATCGATGTTCCTGCCCATTACATTTTATCACAACTATTTCGACATCAAATATTGCAAGGGGATGTAATGCTTTCTTGAAATTCTCTTGTAAATGTCACAAACAATGCCTATGAGTGTCCCAGGAAAATATCCCTCTACATCCTCTAATTATACTTGAATGTTTATCTGATATTATGCACAGGTCAACACGAGATCATACTGGCTCCACCAAATCATTTAATTGTTGTAGAAACCATAACCAAGACTCATTATTTAGACTCAACCATTGGAAACGTAAGAGGAAATAGACCACCATTACCATCAATGTCCATGGTAGCTAGTCAAGTTCCTCTATATTTTCCTAAAAGAAAAGTTCCATCGACATTAATTATTGGTCGACAAATTCTCCATCCGTTTAAGCTTGGCACGATTGCCTAAAAAATTTCATTAAAGCATGTATAATTGCTTACTTGTATCATGTTGACATATCCAAGTATAGTCATACACATAGCTTTCATCATAACAAATAAAGAACAGTAAGACTCCTTGTAACTCCCAAAGATTAACTTTTTCTTTTATTCATGCATCCCAAGCTTTAATTTAAGTAATTCGGAGATTAGATTTTGGTTTCATGCATGCATGTTGACCTCACTTTTGGGTGAGGGTTTTAGGTCTTTTCTTTAGTGATTAGGATCTAGC